CTTGTGGTTGGGTCCTAGACTGGTGACCACACCAACACGAGGGCACCTGGGCTGGGGGGTTGAGGGTGAGAATAGCGTAGTGGGGATGGGACCACATAGAGTGGGGTAGGGTGGGTGGTAAGGTGAAGACTTATGCAGTGAGGAGTGGCGGTAAGCTCCATCCCATCTGTGTTCATTTCCTAGAGCTGCTGTAACAAAGCCCCACAGGCTGGGTGACTTCAACAACAGATATTTATTGCCTCATCATTCTGGAGGCTGGAAATTTGACGTCAAGATGTCTGCAGGGTTGGTTTCCAAGGGCTGTGAGGGAGAATCTGTCCCATGCCTCTCCTCTAGCTTCTGGCAGATTGCTGGCAATCTTTGGCGTGCCTTGGCATACAGAAGCCTCTCCCCCATCTCTGCCTTCATTTTCACACAGCGTTCTCCCTGTGTGTATGTCTGTCTCTGTGTCTAAATTTCTTCTTTTTATAAAGACACCAGTCTTATGGGATTATGGCCAACCTAGTGACTTTATTTTAACTTGATCTCCTCTGTAAAGATGCTGTTTCCAAATAAGGTCACATTCTGAGGCATTGGGGGTAAGGATTTCCAAATATCTTTTTTGGGGTGGGGGCACAATTCAACACCTAACACCACCCCACCACCCCATCTGACCTTGTTACAGGAGACCAAGAAGGACGTTAAGTAAATAGTGGACTGAGGCATCTCCTTGGTGACATGGTCAGGATGAAACGCAACAGATTCCCATTTCAGATCTTCCTTTGCCTCCTTCAGCCTCCCACCAGCCTGCCCCCTCACACCACCAAAATCTAAATTGGGAGCACGGGCAACTCTCAGTCCCATAGGAGGCTTGAGTCCTGCCTCCCATCCCTCACACTCACTTGAATACAGTCCTTTCCCCTCTCTGGGCCTCAGTTTCCCCACTGTGAAATGAAAGGGTTGGATGAGAAAAGATATGTGGTAACTAGGTTATGAGGAGCATTTCATGGAGTAATTTATCACTAATCATTGATCTGAAGCTCACAGCTGATGTGCTCTTTTTCATGCATTAGAGCAGGTCCAAGATTATTTCTATAATAAGATAAATCCCAGTCACTTGAATTCACATTTCTTTCTTCAGTGGGGACAAAAGGATGAGGTTATGTGGAGTGCACTGGGAATTCTGCATAACCCAAGGTCATCTTATCTGTAACCCATGGGAGCATGTGAACAACGTCATGGGCCGCGCATAAACAAAGCAGGCAGCTGTTGGGCCGGGTGATGTCACAACTTCTCCCCAATCTAACGTGCTGGCTCACTGGCCACAGGGTTGCTGACCTCATGATTCTCCCCGTGACCTCCAGTACTTTGACCAGGGGTCCTTTATTTCCTTTTCACACTAACCTCAGCATGACCACTGATGTTTGCAGGAAAAGGAATCCGTCACGGGATTGCCAGAACTTCTTTCTCCGCCTTACAGCTTCTCCCACTAGCCCTGGCTCTGATCCCAAGGGCCACACGAGGCTTAACTGTTCTGTTCTTTCCCCAAGTACTGCAGCCACATGCAGAGAGCCACCAGACCCGTCCTGAGCCTGTTCTCCTTTTCCTCCAGCGAACCCTGATTTCCAGAAGTCTCTGGCCAACCCGCAGTTTGTCTACTTTCCTTTTAAGATGTGTCACCCTCCCCTGGGTGCTAGACATGCCACTCCAAGTGATCAGAGTCCAGATGATCACCTCTCTTGCTTCAAAACTTCTACCTCTATTAATAGAACCTAGGATCACATTAACTTTTCTATTTTCTTCTCTTTTGCATACATAGAAATTTGGGTTTGGATTATAAAGGTAATGCATAATCATTGTAGACAAGGAGATCCCACCATCCAGGGGTAACAACTGTCAATATTCAGAAGTAATTCTTTCCAGTCTCTTCCATGCATATTTTTAAATAAAATCTGAGTAAAGGTATACCTATAATTTCATATTCTGCTTTTTAAATTTTACATTATATCATAAGCCTTTCCCTCATGTCATCAAGTATCTTTGGAAATACCACTTAATGACTTTATCATACGGTTTTATCATTATCTACTTAAACATGATGCTGATAAAGAATTTTAAAAATTGTTTGCAACTAATTATCTTCTATTATAAATTGTACTGTGGTCTAGATGCCTGTACTTAAGTGTTTTCCAAATTGCCTATTTCCTTAAAAGAAAGACATTCCGAGAAGTAAAATTCCTGGGTCAAAAGGTAAGAAATTTTAAATTTAAAAAGTTAGGGGCTTTCTTCTGATTATGAAAATAATTCATTGTGGATGATTCAGAAATGCAGGAAAGCACAAGCAAATTACAAGATATGAAGGCACCACCTACATCTGAGATTGGGAGAGAAGGTGGAGCTGAAAACAGAATTGCTGACTGATAGCAGCCAGCCCGTGGATTCCCTCCTCCCCCCACCCTATGGAGGTTGGCAGCTTATTCTCTGGAGAAGATAAAACAGAGATGGATGGGGAAACACCATGCCCAGTAGAGCGTAGGAGTAGCATAAAGAACATAGAGGAATTAAATGAAAGTTCACATACTGAATGGTGAGACCCTCAGCCTTCACTCCTCCTCCCCCAATAGGCTCCCAGAATGCTGGCTGATAGATAAGGCTATAAAAAGAGGATCTGATCTAGACTGTAGGTTGTTGAAGGCTGTCTTGAGGAGATGAGCTTCAGCACCTGAAAGGTGAGCAGGAATGATCCAGCAAAGAGGTGGGAAGAGCATCCCAGGCAGAGGGAACAGCATTCCCCAAGGCTCTGAAGAAGAAGGAAGGGGCTCGATATAGTCATTGCTCAGGGTTATTTCTTCTATGGACTGCAAGATACTGTCCAGAAAAAAATTACTTGTATGTTCAACAGCATTGTATGAAAATGCCCATTTCAAGGCACC